CTGCAGGCGACAGGGGCATGTAAGCACCTGGGAGCAATAGCCAGACTGCTATTGGCTATTTTAATTTGAAATAGCCAATAGCAGACCGGCTATTGAAAAATCCCACTCACTGAGCAGAGGAGCCGACCTGAGAGAGAAAGTTGTCTCTAAGTTCCGCTCCTCTGCTTTTAGATGTGGGGGCGCCATAGGGGGATGAGTGGCCGTGGTTGCTCTCTAGGTGGCCGCCTAGTTTGCCTAGCGGTAGCACCGGCCCTGTCAAGGGCCTTTGCAGGCTTCTTTTTGTCTTTCACATATAGGAGGTTTGTTGGAGAAGTTTCACAAAGAATGACAACAATGCTGTAGGAACACTGTGATGCGTTTAATGCTGCAGTGTTTGACCATAAGCCTTACAATTAAATGCTCCAGCATGAAACACGTCAAAGCACTCATAGACCATTGTTGTCACTGCGTATAAAGCTCTCCAGCAATTCTCTCGCCTGGACCTGAAATGAAAGTTTCTCTGCCATTCTCCTTCTGCATGATGCTCCTGCAGTGACATTCATACTTGAACTCATGATTTCATCTGACTGATGGCTGTCAGAAACTTCTCAATACTGACACTCTAATAGACATGTGCCATTCAGGAAAGAATTTGTTTTTCGGACCAATTTTCGTTATTCGGAGATTCGGATGTTTCCGAATAACAGGAATGACGAATGAAAACGAATCCGAATTTCCGAAAACTACATTTCAGACAAAATTTGTTAGCGGTAGTCTATGAATTTTCGTTTGTAGACGAATTTTCGTTGCAGCAAAGTGACATAAAAATGTTCCCTGTCCCTCCTAACATTCCTACCAGACCTAAAAGGGTCTGGTATCAATTGGGGGGGAGGGGGGAACCTCACACTTTTTTTTTCTCTTCTGCAGACTGTAAAAAAAAAAAAAACATTTTTTTTTCAATGTCACTTTGCTGCAACGAAAATTCGTCCACAAACGAAAATTCGTACAGACTACCGCTAATGAATTTGGTCCGAATCCCGAAAACAAATTTACTTTTTGTCCAGACGAATTGACAAATTTCGTATAGACCCGAATCCCGAAAAACAAAATAACGCAAGATACGAATCAAAACGAAACAATTTTTTTGCAGGTGCACATGTCTACACTCTGATACGTAAGGCTTCCTTTATGAGAGAGACTGCAAGAAGCCTGCATAGGTCATGTGGGAATAAACACACTGGGGGGAATTTATCAAAACTGGAGCAGACAAAATGTGGAGCAGTTGCCTATGGCAACCAATCAGCTTCTCTCTTTAGTTTGTTCAGTTAAGGTTCACACCATTTTCCGGACCACATCTGGTCCAGGAAAATAGTGTGAACCTGCCCACAGTTCCAGTGCATTCCAGACCAGACAAAATGAGACATGCAGTATTTTTCTGGTCTGGAACGGACTGCGCTGGCGTGAACAAAGGCCAGAAATAGCATAGGGATACATTAGGGTGCATTTTGGGTCCGGAAACAATCTGGTCTGGTCTGGAGATGATCTGGATGTGGTGTGAATGGGCCCTTATGGTCAGGTTAATCTGCCTGCTGATTTCCTGGATTCATGTCTGTCTAATTGCTCATTGCCTGGATAAATCTTTGGACTCATTTTATACTCGGCTTGTCTGTGCTAATTGTGATCATTTGTCTGTTATTTCTGCTATTGTCCATCATTTCTCTGTCTACCTGTGTGAATCCTGGACTCTCTTTATGATTGGTGTGTCTGCACCTGATCTTACCATTAGCCTGATGACTCTGCTACTATTTGCTCTGACCATCTGAGGCGTTACACTGCTCCAACATCTGCCCTGCTCATTAGTCAGATGTCCTCCCTAGTGACAAGGTAGGTTCACCAAGCTCGATGACAGAACCTCAGTTAGTACAATTTCCTATCACCTAGTCATGAAAACTTTTTTGCTTTTTTTTAACCTGTTAAACTTCTCAATGGCCGCTTTCCTCTCCTGGTACGAGCTGCTTCTCAAACACTCCTCCCAGCATCGCTGAACATTGAATTCCTCCAGCTTCTGGTTAAAATGGGTCAGGTCCCCCTCCTTGTACATGTTCAGCTTCCTGACCTGTTCATGGAAGCAACATATGTCATAATGAGAACTTTGAGATAAACAATGCACCATAAAGAAAATCAATTTTTATTTTAACAATGGCAAAATAGACTTAAAGTGACTCTAAATTCAGGAGTTAAATCTTAAAAATACATTCAAGTACCTTAACTATTAACCTATTAACAGAAATGTATCTTATTTGTGTATCACTCGGCTGTAGATCCTCAAATCATCTCTGAATTGGTGCTGACACTGTCCTTCCTTTTGGAGGGTGACTACTTTTGTTCCTGTGTGTGTTGTAAAGTAGTCATCGCTCCAAGCCCGCTGCTGTGATGGACTACAATCTCACATTTAGTTTACTAATTTGTATTGAGCTTGTAGTCCATCACCAGAGCGAGCTTGGAGCGGTGGCTACATTACAACCCACGCAGGGAGCATGGGGAACAAAAGTAGACACCCTCCAGAAGGAAGGACAGCGTCACCACCCAATTCAGAGATGATTTGAGGATCTGCAGCCGAGTGATACAAAATAAGATATATCTTTAGTAATAGTTAAGGTCCTTAAATGTGTTTTAGCATTTAACTCCTGAGTTTAGTGTCACTTTAATGCTAGATAACAGCTCCCTTAAACTGCAACCCTTCTTCGGAAAATGTCCAGCCCTGACTATGGCCAACTGGCAAGCATAACGTATCCTTATCCTACATACATGTTCTGGTGGCAGGCTGCACACTTGGGCGATGTCGCTCATCCATGTCTCTGCCACCATCATCCCCTGAGGACCGCCAAAGCCTCGGAACGCAGTGTTCGAAGAGAGGTTGGTCTTGCACAAATATCCAGTTCCTCTGATGTTTGGAATTTTGTAAGTGTTGTCCATGTGTAATAAACTTCTATCAAGAACCTAGAAAGGAGAAATGGACCTGTCATTAAAATTTACACTTCTGTAGAGCACATGCTGGCTTCACCATATTATAATTAAATATTTTCCTAATTTTAGTCATGAATAAACAAACAAAAACTGCTCCTAAGACTAGGGTTGCCACCTTTTCTTTCAGCGAAACCCGAACACTCTAGCAACTCACTGGAATTGTTTTGTCAGAATGAGTCGCGGCTTATTCATATGTAAATATCACAGTCAGGACTATTTTCAGTGTGTGTGTGTGTGTGGGGGGGGGGGGGGGGGGCAGTAGCCCCTATCTTAATTTTGGTTGCCCCTGTCTGCCTGATATCATGTGTCCGGGTTTCACCTGCCATGAAAACCAGACAACGCATTCAAAACCCGGACTGTCCTGAAACCCGGACTGTCTGTGAATCCCGGACAGGTGCAACCCTACCTAAGACGCCATCATGTGACCCAAAGGCTAGGCAGCTCTGATCACATGATCTCTGCCTACCAGGAGCATTGTGGATGCAGAGAGTCTATTGAATTCAATCTGACCAACCCTGTTTTGTAGGCTGGTACTGATATTATAGGATTAAAGCAATGTGCAGATAGATGCTCCTCCTGCCACCCAAAGAGAAACACATCGCCAGATCAAGGGTTAAAAGGCAGTCCCTCTGATGTTCTCCTCAGTATAAGCAAGCAAACCAAGCAACAACCAAAGGACAAAAGTCTTCACTGGAAAACATTAACATCATATATGGATGTAACGCCGTTAGTCCGCTTGCTCCAGTCTCCGCCGTGGTCCGTCTGCATTCCACCGTGGAACGCGGAAGCAGCACGGGTTCCGGCTTGTGAGTGGGCGGCTGCGTTCCACTGTGGAACGCGGAAGTCGATCGGGCCGATCAGCGGCCCCTCCCTTAATTCCTGACACTATTTAAGGAGATGAGCGAGGCAGCATGGCGTTCCGTTATTGAGGTCAGAACGCCTGCTGCCTCCTGAACCTGGATACCACACTGCTGACAACCAAGACTGGGACCTCTCTGCTGGACTTCAATACCACCCTCTGTATACAAAACTGCAAGTGCTACTCCCTTTGGAGTGTTGCCTCATTGAGACTGTGTCTGCTTCGTACATAGACTGTGTACCTCGATTGATGCCAGAGTCTTGCTAATACACCAGTGTCATCTGCATTGAGCTATTTACCTGCACCTTAACCACTGATTGCTTACAGCCTATGAAGTAATAGTGCTGTCAGTACTAATATTATTTGCCTGACTATGATGGTAGAATCTCAAACTCGCCGTTAAGATTGCGAGTGACGCCTGAGATTCGTATCTGATTGGCTCCATAGGGAAACCCCTCCGCAGTTGAGATCCACCATTTAGAAATTCCCCATAAGTGTGACAATGGTAGAGCCGGAGACCCTGCTGTCCTGAAAGACTACTGGATACAGAGTTACTGGTCGGACTAACTCCTGTTTCCCATAGTGATTAGATAGTGCTTACCAGACTGGGGGGGGGGGGGGCAGAATAGCTCTAGAAC